ACCCATAGGGGGTGCGATCGAAGACGAAGAGGGCGGGTACGGAGGGTTTGGGGTATACTTGTTGACTGGCACGCGAGTGGGTAAGAGCGAACAGTCTGAACATTGTTGTTATTGTTGTTGCTGCTGCTGCTGTAGTTGTTGAGGTTGTCGTCGTTGTTGTGTTGTTATTGTTTTGATTTTTGTTGTCGTTGTTGTCGTTGTGTTGGTTTTTGTCTTTTTGTCGGCGACGACGGTGACGATGACGACGATGCTGATGATGCTGCTGATGATGCTGCTGATTGATGATGATGGCGATGATGCTGATGGTGGTGATAGTGATGTTGATGTTGATGACGCTGACGGACGATGAATACATATGCTGTGAACAATAATGACAATGATGATGCTGACGATGATGCTGATGATGATGACGATGCTGATGGCGATGATGATGCTGATGATGATGCTGACGATGATGTGGATGCCGATGCTGCCGACGATGATTATGATGATCATGCTGAGGATGATAATGCTGAGTACGATGATGATAATACTGAAGATGATGATGATGATGATGATGATGATGACGATGATGATGATGATGATGATGCTGATGCTGCAGCTGTTGATGATGATGATTATGCTGATGCTTCTGCTGCTGATGATGTTGATGATGATGGTTGTGATGATGCTGATTAGGACGATGATGATATGATGATGCTGATGCTGATGCTGATGCTGCTGATGATGATGATGATGATGATGAGGATGATGATGATGATGATGATGGTGATGACGACGACGATGACTATGATGATGATGCTGATGATGATGATGCCGATGCTGATGGTGATGATGATGCTGATGATGATGATGATGATGAGGATGCTGCTGCTGATGATGATGCTGCTGCTGATGATGGTGATGATGATGCTGCTGCTGCTGATGATGATGCTGCTGCTGCTGGATGATGATGATGATGATGATGATGATGATGAGGATGAGGATGAGGATGAGGGTGAGGATGCGGATGATGATGATGATGATGATGATGATGATGATGATGATGATGATGATGATGATGATGATGATGATGATGTCGATGATGATGATGATGATGATGATGATGATGATGATGATGATGATGATGATGATGATGATGATGATGATGATGATGATGGTGGTGGTGGTGGTGGTGGTGGTGGAAGTAGTGATGATGAGGAGGAGGAGGAGAAGGAGGAGGAGGAGGCGAAGGAACATGAGGTGGAACGAATGTACGTCCCCCCGCGCGTGGAGGCTCATGCGCTGCGAGTGGTGGATCAAGATGGCTGGTGGCGTTGGCTTGCCCATGGAGCCAGCAGAAGAGGAGGCTCGGCCTGCGCCGCCAAATCTCGGGCCCGATCTCGAGCTCGAGCTCGAGGTCGCCTTGTGTCTGAGAAACCCCGAGCGCGCGTCGACCTGCCTCCCGTTGTCATTGTTGCTGCTGTAGTCGCTTCATGGTCTTGGTTCTGGTGGGTGGCTCGAAAGTTCCCCCCCGGACAGTGCTGATGTTCGAATGTCACAGCGTCTCGGTGCGTGGTTATGTTATCGGTTGTTGCGGGGGTCTCGATGGTGGCCCCCAGACTGGTGTCCAGGACCGCGCTGGTTTGTGTTCGTTGAGAAATCGTTCATGTTTGAAGTGAGTGAGGCCTGCCCAGTCCGTGGATCTTCGGACGGTGCACGATGACTCAAGAAGGCCCCGGGGGCCTGAGACTAAGACTGGCCAGCACGGGTCCTTTCCCCCTTCCTCCTTTGCTGCCTCCAATCCCTCGTCCTTCGTCCCTCCCTCACTTCTCCCTGTTACCTCGTTGCCCACCGCGTTGACGCGGCGCCGATCTCAGTGTGAGCGTTCAAGGTTGAACGTCGCCAGCGGCCCGCCATGGGCCACGATCGAACGACCTGCGCTTTCGGAAAGTCGCGATCGTTCAAGGTTGAGCGATACAGGCGGTGTCAGAAACCAACGTCGACGTCGTCACGGCGTGAACCTGCCACATTTCCCTCCCCTTGTCCGACCGTCGTCATCCCCACTGCTCCCTGCCCCTGCCGCCCTTTTCCTTCGCCCACCTGCCCCGCTGCTTCCCCTGCTTCCCTCCCTCTGTCCGCCATGGCCTGAGCTCGATCAGGGGCTCGTCGGGGCACCGCTGGGATCCCCCCGTGGCCCAGGCGTGGCCCCTCCGAAAGGGCGGTGGCGCCCACGAGCCAGTCGCTTCCCGACAGGTCGTCTTCCGTTCATCGGCGGCGCGCCCAGGCGGAAATGAGAAGAAGCCTCGCTCAGATTTACCCTCGATCTCTAGTGGGGGGGGGTCCGGGAACATCGACAAAAACACATATGGAGCCCATACCCCCTCCCAACCCGAAATTCGGGTCTTCGGGTTGGGTTGGGGTGGTCTGGTAGGTAGTCATTTGGAGAAGCCGTTGGTGTCTCTGAGACTTCCTGCTCTCCGCTCCTCCCTTGTCAATCGTGCGCGATTAGCTTTCGGCGCGCCCCGCCTCTGGCGTCAGGTGGGGCACGTCTTTCTACAGGAGCAACAGTCAAACATAGTATGAATACAGTATGGGGACGGTTTTTTATGTTTATTTTTATTGCGGGGGGGGCTATTTTGGAGTATTCTTTGACTAGGACTATGTTATATTTTTCTCCCAACATCCGCCTGTAGGGGGACATGCCCGACCTAACTCTAGCCCGACCAGCGCCCGACCGCTTCCGCACCTTTGCGAGCCCGCTGCGAGGCCCCTCGGGCCTTCTCCGCGAGCAGGCCCGCTCCCTCTCCGCCCCCCCCCCGCGGGCTCTCGCCGCCAGCCCCAGGCCGCCGAGAAGAAGGCCGTCGAGAAGAAGGACAAGCGAAAGGATAAGGACAAGTGACCCGCCGCGCGGGCGCCTGCGCCGCCGGGGGGGGGCGGCCGCGAGGCCGCGGCGGCCCTCGGCGCCGAGGGCAGGGCGGAGGCGCCGCGTCCGCGGCGCTCTCGCGGGCGCAGCGTTCGCGGCGCTGCCAGGCGGGGGCGCGCGGCGGGGGCCGCGGGCGAGGTCCGAGGAGCCGAGGGGCCGAGGCGCCGAGGAGCCGAGGAGCCGAGGAGCCGAGGAGCCGAGGAGCCGAGGCGCCGAGGAGCCGAGGCTGGAGGCTCGGGGAGCCGAGGCTCGGGGCTCGGGGCTCGAGGTTTCGAGGGTGCCCTTGGGGCAGGGAGTGGGGAGGCTCGCTGCCGCCGACGGCGACGGCGACGGCGGCGACGGCGGCGGCGGCGGCGGCGACGGCGACGGCGACGGCGACGGCGACGGCGGCGAGGCTCGAGGTCCTCTGGGCGTGGTTTGAGGTGGCGGGGGCCTCTGGAGGCCTTCGAGGGCCCCGGGCTGTCCAGGGCCTCCCGTTGTCGAGGCTTCTGAGGTTTGTGGTGGGGAGGGGAGGTGAAGGATAAGACGAAGCCAGGACGAAGCCAGGGCGAGGAAAAAGTATCCATAATCACGTCTACCCTTCCCCCGTTTTCCCAGTTTGAGGCCTCCTCGGAGGCCGTCGTCGCTACTGCTTGATTCGCCTTGAAATTCTGGTCAGAACGCATCCTGGGAGAGGTGCAGGGGAGGCGAAGGCTAAGACGAAGCCAGGGCGGGACGGGTGGGTCGCGGGTGGGTCGCAGGCCGGGTCGCGGGCCTAACGACGACAACAAGCAACAGACAACAACAGACAACGCAAGAATAACAGCAGCAGCAACAACAACATTAGCATCATCAACAACAACAGCAGCAACAGCAACAACAGCATCACCAACAGCAGCAACACCAACAACAACACCAACAACAATCATTTTAAGACTGTTCGCTCCTATCCGCTCACATGCCATCCAATACGTATGTCCCAAACCCTTGGTACCCGCCCTCTTCGTCTTCGATCGTGCCCCCTTGGGGGTATACCTCCCTTACCTGCCACGTGCATGTAGTGCAGTCCCTAAAACAGGGGACGAGAGGACGGGTGAATTGGGGAGGGACAAGGATGGAGCACGAGAGAAATTCGCAGGATGGGGGCAAGAAGCATAAAACAAAGGGTATAACCAGACGGACAGATCGGGTGGGCAGACCCATACCGTGCGGGTCGGGAAGGCGGAACCAGGCGACCAGGTCGAGCAGGTGGGTTGCTGAAGCGTGGGTCCTGCATTAATCGCGAGGAAGTCTCGAGCGATAGCGCGATTCCCAAGTAAATCGTGAGAAAGAAGGCCAAAGCGAGAACGTGATTCCTGAGCGCCGAGGGCGATTCGATTTAATAAGTTGTACGGAAGTCCCACGCGAGAGCGAGATTCCTGCATACATTGTGAGGAACTCCCGCGCTAGAGCGCAATTTGGGAATACATTGTGAGGAAGTATCAGGCGGGAGCCGTTGTTGTAATCCCGGGGCCGGGGGGCGCAGTTTGACGCTCAAGACTTCCCCTGACAAAAAACAGGATGCGAGCCCCAGGATGGGGCACTTCGATGGGAAATGCAACGTGCACTGGGCGGGGGGGGCAACAACAGTTATCCTTCAGGAATGAGAACTCAACACCACCAACACCACCAACAACAGCAACAACAGCAACAACAGCAACAGCAACAACAGCACCACCAACAACAGCAACAACAACACCACCACCACCACTTACAACAACAACAACAACAACAACAACAACAACAACAACAGCAACACTTACAACAACAACAGCAAAAACTACAACAACAACAATCTGCACCGCGGAAGCCCATTTCAGCCACGTACCCAGGGACAGTGAATGATCGTTCGGCCCTCTCATTCTGATAAATCGGAAATCTCTGAGATCTGGCGGCTCTGGAGGATGTCTCGGGCGCCGCGGCCTTCATAGAGCGTTCCGGAGCGCTCTGAGATCGTCCCGGAACGCTCTGGAACGGATTTATCTTTTTTCTGACCCCGTCCTGAAAGAGGGGAGATCGGAAAGTACGCTCGCGCCACATGTGACGTTCTGCCCTTCCCTTTTCTTTACCGCCGAGCGAATGTTTCTCGCGGCGGAACATAAAGCGGGATATTCGCATTTTTTGATCCAGGGCTTCCAGGGCCGGCCGTATGTAAGCATCCATGGCTGCCACGTAGCCGCCCTTGCTTGAGCTGCGGCATGCACCTGGGTGATGCGTCGGCGCCTTCGGGGGAAGCGTGCTGAACGTCACCGCACAGCGTCCTCTGCTGATGGTCCCCGGTGAGCGTCATTCCTGAAGGTCAGTGGGGATGGTGGGAGTCTTCTTCCCTCTTCCCTCTTTCCTCTTGCCTCCTTCCCTCCTGCAACTAAGAGGTAGGTGGTGCACTTTCCTTTGAAGGGCGTGTTCGGACAACTCGGACGCGCCTCTCTAGCGCTCGTTGCCTCCTTCCCTCATGCCTCTCGGAGGCCTCCGGAGGTCGCCAGAGGTCTCCAGATGCCCCCTTGGAGGCCCCCAGAGGTCCACGGAGGCCTCTTGAGGTCTTCCAGAGGTTTCCGTGAACGGTCAAAACCTGGACCATCGATCCTCGCGTTTCCCTTCCTCCCTCCCTCCCTCCCTTCCTCCCTCTTCTCCTCTGGATCTGAAGGTCCCGCGCTGGGCATTTTGAGGACTTCGTCTGCAGGTACGCTGTGCCTCTTGGTGTCCTGCCCCCCACTTCCCGCGGTGCCCCTCCTTCGAGCAAGTTCTCTGATTCTTCCTTTGGAGGGGTACTTTGTGGTTTTTCAGAAGCCTTCAAAAACCTGGATCCTCGAGCCTCGTTCTCCTTCTTCTTCCTCCCTCCCTCCCTGTTTCCCTCCCCTCTCCTCCCCTGCTCCCTCCTCCTCCCCTCTTCCCCCCTTCCTCCATCTCTCCCTCTCTCCCTCCCTCCCTGCCTCCCTGCTTCCCTCTCTCCCTCCCTCCCCCACTCTTCCCCTCTTCCCCTCCTCCTTCCCCCCTTCCCTCCTGGGAGCTGTGGGGCAACAGAATTTCCCAGCAGTGGGCGGACCAGGCAGATCGCTGGTGCGCGGCGCGGGCGCTGCGCCCGCCGGCGGCGGCGCTGCAGTGGGCGGTCCATTTCCACGGGGGCAACAAGAAGGCGTGCTTCCTCGTCCTCGTGCTCCCTCCTCGTCGTCTTCCTGCTCCCCCCTCCGCCTCTCCCCTCCTTCCTCCCTCCCTCCCTCCCTCCCGCCTCCACTTCTTCCTCCACCTCTGCCTCTGCCTCTGCCTCTTCCTCCTCCTCCTCCTCCTCCTCCTCCTCCCCTTCCTTCTCCTCCTCCTCCTCCTCCTCCTCCTCCTGGCGTGCCCCGCGCGGACCTGTGAACACCAGTAGCCCGTACCCTCGTCTCCTTCTGCCCTCCAGAGGCTCGAAGATATTGATATGTTTTCCACACATCAGAGTGCGGTGGCCGAACGGCCATTCACTGTTCATGGGTGCGTGGCTGAAGTGGGATTCTGCGGTGCGGATTGTTGTTGCATTGCTGCACTGTTGCGTTGTTGATTGTTGTTTGTTGTTTGTTGTTGGCTGTTGTTGTTGCTACTGCTGCTGCTGCTGTTGTTGTCGTTGTTGTTGTTGTTGAACATTATTTCTTCTTAAGAATAATTATTGTTGGGACCCCTGGTGCGCGACCTCTGCGCCGCGCCTAGGCCGCAGCTACATTTTCATCATTTTTTCGCGAAAGCTTCAGAAAAGTGGATTGTGTCCGGATCCGGTTGTTTTGTTGTAATCCGTTTTCCCTTGCAAAAAACAATAGAAAATGAAAATTCTTGTTCTTACTTGATCAAATTGCAAGAATCCCTTGCAAAAAATAAGGTAAAGTGGACATTCGTGCGCGCAAGACGAAATCCTTCCAAAACCTTAGGTTTCGTAGCGATTTTAACATAAAAACATCAAAAACCCAATGGTTTTTTAAGAAAAAATTGTCAAAATGTCCTTCCGCGCGCGCTGTCCGAATCCCACAAAACCAATGGTTTTTCAACATTTATGTTACATGAGCTCGCGCGAGCTACTTTTTCTTGTTCTAACATAATCAAATTTCAATAATCCCTTGCAAAAAATAAGGTAAAGTGGACATTCGCGCGCGCAAGACGAAATCCTTCCAGAACCTTAGGTTTCGTAACGATTTCAACATAAAAACATCAAAAACCCAATGGTTTTTCAAAAAAAAATGTCCAAATTTCATCCCGCGCGCGCTGTCCGACTCCCACAAAACCAATGGTTTTTCAACATTTATGTTACATGAGCTCGCGCGAGCTACTTTTTCTTGTTCTAACATAATCAAATTTCAATACTCCCTTGCAAAAAAAAGTAAAGTGGACATTCGCGCGCGCAAGACCAACAAAAAACACGACGATCTTAGGAACTTGCCCCAAAAATGTGACCAACTCCGCTCTCTCTGTCTCTCTCTCTGTCTGCTCTCTGTCTCTCTCTCTGTCTGTCTGTGTCATGTATTGTATGTCACAATTGCAGGATGCTGGGCACACGCGCGCCCCGAATAAGTGACCAAGTTCTGTGGGTGTGTACCCCACGCCAGTGTAGTAGCCACGGTCGTCCGCACGCCACGAAGTGAAGTGTCCCAACGTCATAGGGCGGGAAGCTGGGTTTGGGTGGTCGCGAAGAGTCGTTTGGATATTTGGTAGAGCTTGAACTGCCCCCCCACGAAGTGGGGGTATTGTCTCGCGTCGCATGAAAACCCTGGCACTGGTGAGAACACTGAGCGTTCGGGTAAAATGATTGTTGTTGTTGTTGTTGTTGGTGTTGTTGTTGTTGAACTCTCATTCTTGAACAATAATTATTGTTGATCCCCCCCCACCGGTGCACATTGATTTTTTTCGATTGAAGTGCCACCCCCGGGGCTCGCACCTTGTTTTTTCTCAAGGAAAGATTTCCTGCTCAAGCTGTGCCCCTGCCCCCTGGGCTACAACAACAACGGCTCCCGCCTGAGACTTCCTCGATTTTTACTCAGGACCCCCGCTCCCGCCTGAGACTTCCGCGCAATTTACTCAGGAAAGGCGCTCCCGTCTGAGACTTCCTCGCAATGTAATCAAGACCCCCGTTCCCGCCTGAGACTTCCGTGCAATTTACGTGGGAACGGCGCTCCCGCCTGAGACTTCTTCGAATTTTACTCAGGACCCCCGCTCCTGCCTGACATTTCCGCGCAATTGACTCAGGAACGGCGCTCCCGCCTGAGACTTCCTCGCAATTTAGTGAGGACCCCCGCTCCCGCCTGAGACTTCCGTGCAATTTGCTCAGGAACGGCGCTCCCGCTTGAGACTTCCTCGCAACTTAGTCAGGGCCCCCGCTCCCGCCCGAGATTTCCTCACAATGTACTCAGGACTGCGCTCTCGCGTGCGACGTCCTCACAAATTATTCTGGAATTGCGTTTCGGCGCTCAGGAACCACGCGCGCGCCAAGGACGCCTTCACAACGTGGTATCTTCCCTCTTCCTTCGTCCTTCCCCCTCCCCTTCCTCCCACTCTCCCTCGTTCTTCCCCTCCTCCTCTTGCAGGGCCCGCGCCAATTCCAATGGCGGGCAGAGAGATGTACGCCCCCGAAGGATTGTCCGCCCGTTCCGGTTTGCCCGTACGTCTAAGCCCGCCGGCCCCAGCAAAGAGAAATAATCCCCCCGAAAGGGGTGTGATCGAAGACGAAGAGGGCGGGTATCGAGGGTGTAGGGTATACGTGTTGAATGACTCGCGGGCAAGTAAGAGCGTACAGCCTTAAAATGGTTGTTGTTGTTGTTGTTGTTGTTGTTTGTTGTGTTGTTGTTGTTGTTGTTGTTGTTGTTGTTGTTGTGTTGTTGTGTTGTTGTTGTTGTTGTTGTTGTTGTTGTCGTTGTCGTTGTTGTCGTTGTTGTTTGTTGTTGTTGTTGTTGTTGTTGTTGTTGTGTGTTGTTGTTGTTGTTGTTGTTGTTGTTGTTGTTGTTGTTGTTGTTGTTGTTGTTGTTGAACATTATTACTTCTAAAGAATAATTATTGTTGGGGCCCCTGGTGCACGGCCCCCTCGCCGCGCCTAGGCCGCAGCCATGTTTTCATCATTTTCGTGAGGAAGTCTCCGGCAAAACGGGTTGGTCCGGATCCGGTTGTTTTGTTACGGGCGGTTTTCCCTTGCAAAAAATAAGGCAAAGTGGACATTTCTTGTTCTAACATAACCAAACTTCAAGAATCCCTTGCAAAAAATCAGGTAAAGTGGACATTCGCGCGCGCAAGACGAAATCCTTCCAAAACCTTAGTGTTCGTAGCGATTTTAACATAAAAACATCAAAAAACCAATGGTTTTTCAAAAAAAAAGTGTCGACATTTCATCCCGCGCGCTCTTGCGGATTTGTAGGAAACCCAACACTTTTTAAACATTTCTGTCAAACGGGCTTTTGCGAGCAACTTTTTCACGTGCTTCGAACTTCTCCAACAACGGTTGCGCACCTGCCAGGGCCATCATCCCTGTCAAATAATACCATGCGGGACACATTCGTTTTTCCTTCGCGCGCGCACGCCGAAATCTTCAAAAACCATTGGGTTTCTTAGGAATTTTAGAACCATTGGGTTTTTTAGGAATCTTAGGAATTTTACCACTCAAAATAAGTGTCTTCGCTTGTGTGGTACAGAAACGGAAAAACGTCGTATCAGACGCTAGCGCCTCACCAGCCAAAGCAGTCCATATCATTGTAGGACCTACAGACAGTACCGGCGTCGTACTGGTTTACCGTGGTTTCCTATTCTAGCGTCAGGAACACGTTACCACCAAAAACCAGTACAGGTGTCCAGTGTTGGAACAGGGGGAAAAGTCGTATACTAAGCTAGCGTCCAGAAAATGTTACCACAACAAGTCACTGTACCCATGCGCCAGTGTAGTAGCCACGGTCGTCCGCAGGCCACGAAGTGAAGTGTCCGAACGTCATAGGGCGGGAAGCTGGGTGTGGGTGGTGGCGAAGAGTCGTTTGGAAATGTGGTAGAGCTTGAACCGGCCCCCCCACAAAGTGGGGGTATTGGCGGGCGTCGTATGAAAACCCTGGCACTGGTGAGAACGGAGTGTCCCCACGTGCTAGTAATTGTTGTTGTTGTTGTTGTTGTTGTTGCTGTTGCTGTTGCTGTTGCTGCTGCTGATGTTGAGCTCTCATTCTTGAAGAATCATTATTGTTGATCACCCCACACCGGCGCACATTGTTTTTTCAATTGAAGTGCCCCCCCGGGGCTCGCACTTTGTTTTTTGTCAAAGAGAGTCTTCCTGCTCAAACTGGCCCCCTGCCCCCCGGACTACAACAACAACGGCTCCCGCTTGAGACTTCCTCACAATTTAGCCAGGACCCCCGCTCCCGCCCGAGACTTCCACGCATTTTATTCAGGAATCGCGCTCTCTCTTGGGATTTCCTTACAATTCATTCAAGAATCGCTCTCCCGGCGCTCTGGGGTCGCGCTTTCGCTGGAAACGTGCTTGCAATTTACCATAGAATAACGCCCTTGCGTTGGACTTTCTTGCAATTTACTCAAGCGCCGCGCTCCCGACACCCAGGCACCCAGGAGTCGCGCTCACGCTTAGGATTCCCTCACAAATTACCTAGGATCTCGCTGCCCTTCGTGACCCCGTTGCAGCCCTTCGTGACCCCCTCGCTTTGTTTCGTGGCCCCGCTGCAGCCCTTCGTGGCCCCCTCGCTGCCCTTCGTGGCCCCGTTGCAGCCCCTCGTGGCCTCCTCGCTGCCCTTCGTGGCCCCGCTGCAGCCCTTCGTGGCCCCCTCGCTTTGTTTCGTGGCCCCGTTGCAGCCCTTCGTGGCCCCCTCGCTGCCCTTCGTGGCCCCGTCGCAGCCCTTCGTGGCCCCGTTGCAGCCCTTCGTGTCCCCCTCGCTTTGTTTCGTGGCCCCGTTGCGGCACTTCGTGGCCCCCTTCGCTGCCCTTCGTGGCCCCGTATATGTATGCCCTTCGTGGCCTCCGCTCGTTCGCGCCCGTGGTTGCCCCATATGCATGCCCTTCGTGGCCCCCTCGCTACCCTTCGTGGCCCCGTTGCTGCCCTCAGTGGCCCCGTTCTTGCCCTCCGCGGCCCAATATACGTATGCCATTCGTGGCCCCCGCTCGTTCGCGCTGGTTTTGGCCCCATGTGCCTGCCCTTGGCC